ACTGTGGTCTGAATGAGAATGGCTCCCATAGGCTCATAGATGTGAACATTTGCTTCCCCAGTTAGTGGAACTGTTTGGGAAGGATTAGAGTTGTGGCCTTATTGGAGGAGTGCCACTGTGGACAGCCTTTTGATGTTTCAAAAGCCCTGCCATTCCCAGTGTCTCCCTCTGCCTCCTGCTTGTAGATCAGATGTCAGCTACTGCTCCAGTGCCACGCCTGCCCACTGCCATGCTCCCTGCTATTACTGCCATGGACGATACTAATACTCTGGAACTGTGAGCCCTCAAATTAAACGCTCTTTTGTAAGTTGTCTTACCCATAGTGTTTACCACAGCAACAGGAGAGTAACTAAGACAAGTTGTTTACCTCTTCTAAATATTTATGTTTATATCCACAGTAATGAACTGCTCCTGGCCTTGGTTAAAGAATCATCTTACTGCGTGGATAGCTGTTAATACAGACTTGTTACTGTTCAAAGTCCCAAGAATAAGTGGCCGTGAGTCCTCAGCTGCACACACTCCCTCCAAGGTTCACGGAAAGCTGCAGGACAGGCAGAAATAATGTACAGGCTGGAACACAGGGAGCTGTGCTGTGAACTGCTGTCTTCTAGACAGGACATGAATGCTGTAGTCATGAAATCACAGCAGCAGTAATTACCTCCACCAGACCGTCACAAGATCAAGCCAATTAAAGGGGCTGGGGTCCCCAAGGCTGGACCCCAGAGGAGATGTTGACAGTTGATAGCTGCTGGGGAGCATATTTTATGATTTGGGGCTAATAACAGCATTATATTCATCAGGGAATTCTAATAAAACTTTTGACTAAAAAGCAAAGAAACAGAGTAGCTAGGGAAATGTGATTCACTTATACTAATCATAAATTATCAAGATAAAGAGAGGGAGGTGGGAGAGAAGGATAGAGAAAGATAGAGGGAGAGAGAGAGAGAATACAAACTCAAACTCTAAGGTTTAATAGCATCCAAGAGACCACTGAGCATTTGACTACTAGCTTAAAAATTTGGTGATATAGAACTTCTACCAAACCAGATAAATATTTCTCATATTGGCTATCTACTCTTAAAAACCCTTAATAGAGAGGGTGAAGAGGCAGCTTCAGTGGTTAAGAGTGTTCACTTACTTACACTTTTAATCTCAGCACTCAGGAGGCAGAAGCAGGTGGATCTCTGTGAGTTCAAGGCCAGCCTGGTCTACAGAGGGAGTTCCAGGACAGCTGGAGGCTACACAGAGCAACTGTCTCAAAGAAACAACAACAAAAAAGAGTGCTTACTGCTCTATTGTGAAGACCAGATCCCAGCACCTACACTGGGAAACTGATATACACAGATGTGCACGCGCGCGCGCGCACACACACACACACACACACACACACACACACACACACACACACACACACTGTGTATAATTTTAGGTAGACATGATTCCTTGAGGCTTTCTCAACCCTGCAGTCACTTCTATCTCTTTCTGTACTGACATCCCTCCCTCCCCCCACTATTGTTTCTCACTTCATATCACTTATACCCAGCTGTTCCCCTCCCAATGCTTGACCCCCTCTCCCCACCCTACGGTCCCTTTATATTTTCCTGGTTTCTCAGTAACTCCACGTTGTATACTCACATTTGAAGATTTGAAATTAGGAAACTCAGACGAGGGAGAACACATACTTGCCTTTATTTCCTTCAATATGATCTTCTCTAGTTCCAGCCACTTACCCACAAATTTCAAGTATTCCATTGTGTACATCTATCACATTTTCATCATCCATTTATCTGTTGACATTTAGGTAGTTTCCACTTCCTGGTTATTACGAATAGGGCAGCAAATGAACATGGCTGAGCACATACCTACGGAGCATGTCAAGTCCTTGGGGCATATGCTTAGGAGTGATAGAGCCGGGCCATATGGTATATTCTTACTCCTTTTTCTCTTTTGAGGATTCTCCACACTGATTCCACAGTGGCTGCACAAATGTGCACTCCGACCAACAATGAATGAGAGTTATTTTCTTCACAATCTCACCAGTATTTGTGGACAGTTGTTTGAGTGATCTTAGCCATTCTGACTAGGGTGAGATGAACTCTCAAAGTTTTTTTAACTTGCATTTCCCTAATTGCTAAGGATGATGAACACCGTTTGAAGTATTTCTAGCCCATTTTTTTTTAACTGGGTCACTTGTTTCCTTGACTGCTTTCTGAGCTATTTGTATATTCTGGATATTAATCCTCTGTCAAACATGTAACTGGCAAGGATTCGCTCCCATGCCGTGGGCTACTTTTCACTTGCTTGTTTTGTTAGTTGTACAGAAGCTTTCTTAGTTTTAGAAGGTCCCAGTTGTAAACTGTTGGCCTTAATTCCTGAGCAAATAAACGGGACAGTGAGAAGGCTAAGCAGGTAAAGGCACTTATCACTATACCTGACAACCTGTCAGGGTTTGAACCTGAGACCCACACAGTGGAGAGAATAGACTCTAGCGAGGTGTTCTCGAATTTCCGCACATGATGGTGACATGTGTGTGTGTATGTGTAAGCGTAAAAAAATTTTAAGTGTAAAAAAATGTTTTAAAAAAAGGGAAGGGTAAAAGAATGGAAATAACAGGCCACTTTTACAAAATATGGTTACAGCAACTTATTAAAACTTATCAAGTAAACTTGACTTTCAATGTAGAACAATTTAACATTTACTGGTGCACCTGAAGTAAACTACAGCTCTACGCACAAACTAATGTTCCCTAAATAAGTCAGCTCTAACTAGACAAGTGAGAGAACTGGCTAATTACTACCTCCTCCAGAAAGCTAAATTCAATCCCTAACACTGTGGTGGCCCACCAGTTTGTATACTAATATTAAAGACACTACCTGGAAATGACAGGAAGCTATAAAAATGAGGAAAATCCAAGTCACGAATGTGAAAGACAATGTATGGACACATAGGAGTTTTTATGACCATGTCTGGGTGTCTCACACATGTGCACTGCCCAATTCCAGAGCTAAAGTACATACTTTGTGGGAATTCAATCCCACAACCAAGAAGCAAAGTAAAACATACACCCAGGAGGGCAGGCACCTAGTGTTCTGAATGTACACAAATAACAGAGGGTTTCCAATTTTTTTCCTGCTTTTTATACTAATTCTCTTTTTCAATTTCAAGGGATATTTCACAGCTTACAAAGTAATTAAAAAGGGATGTTACTAACATTTTCATCACCAATTTATTTAAATGTTTTTAGATTTTATGCTTGTTTGCCTGCATGTATTGTCTGTGTACCATGTGCATGCAATAACCATAGGGGACAGAAGAGGGTGTCATAATTCCTGGAACTGTAGTGATGAATGGTGAGCCACCATGTGGGTGCTGGGAATCAAACCCAGGTCCTCTCGAAGAGCAGCCATCTCTCCAGTCACCTTTATCACCAACCTTAAGGAACATTTCAAGTCTTCTCAGAAGTCACCATCAACTTAACAATCTCCCCAACTCCCTTACATTATGACACTTGAGAAAACAGTCAACCGACCTGTGCTGTGTAAGAAATAAAACACAGGAAGCTGAAGGCTTAGATCATATAGATTACAGGCTTGCTAAATCAAACTCTGTCCCTGGCAGAGTCTGGGTACCCTGCTGTGGACCTGGCTTTTAGCATGCCATTAAAATGATAGGAAACACTCACCAGTAAAATAAAATAGGGTGTGTGCCCACCCAGCAGCTACTCCCCAGACCCTAGCCTCCTACCCTAGCGACTTCGCCCAGAGCTCACGGTTGCTCTCAGGGGCCTCTTCAAAGGGAAGCCATTCTTAAATCTAGGGGCAAACAAACCTTCATCGTCTGAGCCAACCAGGTGAGTTTCACTCCCTTTGCCAAGTGTTTTAGAAAAATTGCTGTAACAAGGAGACCAAGGAAAAGCTCCCTCTAATTGTCATCTGCCACCCGGACCATCTGCTGTGGCACTGGAGTCCTGAGAACAGCATCATCGGGTAAGAGTAGCCATGGAGACAAGGTGCTGGGCAATGGATGTCTTGCCTTTGCTGAATTAGCCAATCAGGAACTGACCCTTCAGAGATTACTTCATCAAGCAGCCCAACCTCAAGATTCTAACTGTTGTTCTCTGTAGTGGGTAGCCATTCCAGCTTTGGTCTGGAAGTTCCAACCCCCATTGATGCTTCGGTAACTGTCACGCCTACAAGGCAGGGCCGAGAGAGGACCCTGAGGACCCGAGATCTGGATCCACCGCCTCTCTTGGTTCTGCCAGACTGTGCTATATCTTTCCCAGACCCTGCAACCTACCTATCCCTTCATTTCTAAGTTACACCACTAAATAAACCTCCCTTTTAACTACGTGGAGTGGCCTTAATAATTTCACCAATAGTTCTCATTTATTTTTCCTTTCAGTGCAGGAGGCTGAACATGGAATTTTCTTAATGCTGTGTGTATCTGTGGTATACATGTCCATGCACATTTGCAGACAAAAGGTTCATGTTGGGTACCCTCCCCTGTCATGCTACACTGTTTTGAGACTAGGTCTCAATGTGTAGCCCCAGTGGCCTAGAATTAGAGGTTAGCATCACAGAGACCCACCTGCATCTGTCTCCCAAGTCCTGGAATTAAAGCTGTGTGCCACCACTGCCTGGCTCTCTTTCCAGGGTGGCCTTGAACTCACAGAGATCCAGACAGATCTCTGCCTCTGCCTCCCGAGTGCTGGGATTAAAGGCGTGCGCCACGCCTGCCCGGCCAGCTTTTAAGACAAGGTCTCCCTGAACCTAGAGTTCACTGGCTAGACTAGCTGGCCAGTGAGCTCCAGGGTCTACCTGTAACCCTCACCGGCACTAGGGTTACAGGTGTGCATCAGCATGCCTGGTTCTCAGGTGATGGGGATCTTAATTTAGGAATGGAACTCCAGTCCTCTGCAAGAATACCAAGTGCCCAACTGCTGAGCCATCTACTCAGCCTGTAAAATGGTTTTGCCTGGTAAAATAATTAAAGACACATGAGAAAATCCAATATTTATTGAGTACATATTTAGTAACAGCAATACAGTTTCTCAAGAAAAACCTGAGCTGAATCTCTCCAAAACAGAATAAGGCATCTTCCAATACTGGTAAACTAGACCCCAAATCTATAATTTTATACTCCCCTTTAAGAATTTCAAGATACAAAAGTAACTGAAAGATATTCACATTATTATAAAACCAAAATAGTTTAAGGTAAAAAGCAGTTTCGAGGCAGTAATGTCTACACAGCAAGGTTCATCATGATGCTGTCTACAAAGCAAGGTTCATCACGATGCTGTCTACACAGCACAGTTCGTCATGATGTCTTCCTGCAGCTTCAGACAACTCTACTCAGCACAGTAATAGACTCATGCAAAATGCCTGGCCAAAGTAAACACCTGCACCCGTGCCCAGGTTCTGAATTCCAGCTCACAGACCTCATACAGTGCTCACAACACTGCTGATCCAGCTCTCAAATGTCAATGGTGATTCATGTACTATGAAGGCATGTTCTGCTCAATTCTGAATGGACAACACAGTCTACAGCAATGCCACAAGCTATGGATTATTTTATATCATTTCGGTATTCCCTGAAAAGATTTTATACAAAAGTTGAAAACAGCTATTATAGTGGGGGAAAAAAAATCCACTGTAACAGTTCAAATGGAAGTATCCCTACTGAGCTATCACAGTGAAACAATTGAGTTTTTAAATGGCATATAGGTCATCACATTCTCTTCATGAACTGTTAGGAGCTGTCATGGTGTGAATATGCTCTCATAGCTCAACTGCATACATAACCTACACAGTTGGTCAAAGGCTCCACACAGTTCTCGAGTTTGGTAGTAAAATAGTTGGTATTTTAATTCACAGTATTACTAAGAGAAATTCTCTACAAAGCTCCTGGTTGTTTGAAACATCAATTTATGGAAAAACCTAAGGAAATCCCAGCAGATACTTGCAATTATTAGCTGGGGTGAGGTGACAGGTTTTCAAAAGTCAACTGTCACTGATATGTAATCAACTGTAGATTGCCCAGGCCACTATGCTATTATACATTTTCTCATAATTCTCTAATTATATATTTGAATAGCACATACTTCTAGCTTTTTTTTTTTTTCTTTTTGAGACAAGATTTCAAGAAAGGCCATACTGGCCTTGAAAGTACCTCACTTTCCCAAGTGTTGGGTAACAGGTCATGTGCTACCATGCCCAGTTTTAATCCTTATAACAGCTTTTAGACAACTGTCTTAAATCTCTATCACTTAGTTTTTTTTAAATCTACTTTCATCTTCAATGAAACAAATATCAGAACAAGTTAGCCAGGATTTCGAAGACAAGAAGGGCTGCTTTGGCAATGGAGAAAAGGATGACTACCCCGATAGTAGTCACCTTAGTCACCTCCATTAAATATTAAAATGTAGTAAGGCAGCTACTACTTAAGACACTTGAAATTACACCTAACAAATGGATACCTGGCCCCACACCTGACATATTGCACATCTATTTTTCTTCTTGAAAAGACAGCTCAATGAGCTTTCTAAAAACATCTCAGAGGCTCCGACTGTGCCTGTATTACTTGTGACAATGTAAGCAACTGAAAAGGAGAATGAGTACTTTGAATTTTTTTGGATTATTTTATGTGTGTTCTTTGCCTGTGTGTATATACATGCACCACATGTGTGTCTGGTGTCCACAGAGGTCAAAAGAGAGTGATGGATGCCTTGGAATTGGAGTTACAGATATTAATGGACTACCATGTGGGTGCTGGGAATATGTGCTCATAACCACTGACATAACTCTGTCTTGACAATGAATGTTCTTTAAGGTTTTGCTCTTACTGTTTCTACCATCTCCCGTCCTCTTGAATCCACTCACAATAGTTCAACTGAGAGTACCCCCACTGAGGATTAACTAGATTGCCCATTCTGCCAGCCAACACCCAAGGCAGGGTGGTGAGTCCCCTACTGGCCTCCCACTTACAGTGCCAGGGAAAACTGCTACACCAGATGTCGACACAACGAAGCAGTTCCCTTCACACAGCCTTCCCTTGGAGATGATGAAGGACCCTGAATAGAAAGTCTGTGTGTTTCCACAGGTCCCAGCTCACAAAATGGGACCCAGGGAGAGAACCAAGGATGTTGGACATTTACTCCTAAAAGACCACTGAGCAAAGTGACCAAGAAACATGTCTGGTATCAACAAACCAAACAAGGTTGGTTCTGCTGTCCCCACCCAAAGAATCCAGGCACCTGTCCTGGCTCTGTCAGTACACGGCAAGCAGTGGCCTCGGCAGGGAGAGCCCATATTTGTACACGTTTCCTCCATCTCTCCTTCTCCACTTCCCCACTGTCATTCCATCTCTCTTCTCACTCAGCCGTTCGTCATTCTTTACCCCTCTCTCTTTCTTTCTTTCTTTCTTCTTAACTATTCATTTGCATCACCCTTCTCTTCTCCACTTTCTCTTCCGTAAAATACGGGCCGCCTTCCACATACCATCAGCAAGTCTACACTGGAGGACAAGGCAAAAGGCATCGGCCTCAGGAGCTGGCCCTCAGTAAACCAGCCTCCGTCAACACACTGGTGTAGCTGCAGAACTGCACCAGCCCTCCAGTCGCCCTCCCAAGCCGCCCTTGCCCTTCTTAGGCACTACACAGGCCCAGCTGCCAATCTTCTTGTCACTGCACTGGAGACAAGAAGTACGGAGTGTCCACGACAAGCGACGACACACCTCTGAGCTCTTCTGCACACGGGAAAACTGCATCTTCTTAAAATATACTTTCTAGAGGTTTTCCAAAATCTTTTTATACAAATGAAGTTCCCATGCATTTTAGCGTCCTTCCTCTATACCACCTCAACCAATCACACTGAAGCCCACGGGGTTGAGTGTCTCCAGGTACTGAAAAAAATAAAATCTTAAGGAACTTACTCATATCAATTCCTATCTTGTCAATAACCCCAACTGCTCCCTCTATCCAAAAAAATGGCACTTTAAATTTAGCAACTGTACCAATAACTGTGACCTCAGCTTCAACCTTAAAGATGGCAAATCATTTCCAGGAGTTCCCAAACTATCTGATCTCAAACCTCCTGAGGAACTCATGAAAAACAGAACCACCATGTCACATGCACATCTAAGACAAGCTGGGAAATTTGTTTAAGGATTGGCTAAGAATGAGACCAAAGGGCAGCTGCCACTTTTGCCAGGTCTGATGTAGTTACTGTAATTACTGAAACATTCACTGCAGGGACCTACAATGATGCCTGAGACTTTAATAGAAGAAAAGGAAATGAATGAAGTAAGCGTGGCAAGATGCTGATAGGTAACAGATTGGAACCATGAGGACCACTGTGTGAGACTCTCAGTTTCTTGTCATTTTTACTGCTTTTGTAGTGCTGGGCCTAAGCTCACTAGGCAAGCACTCTCACTGTGGAGCTATAGCCCTAGTCCACTTTCACATAATACTTAATATCTTCATTTAAAAAATTTATCTCTTTATCTTCATTTAAAAATTAGTCTCTTTGAATTAAAACATTCTTGAAGACTCCTAGTTACAGTATACACAGGCTATTTGTTTTTAGCAAGCTCCCTCAGATTATCAGCCAAACTTCAGAGGAGACCTCTCATTTTTCTACCTAACATGTTAAACATTAATACAGTTCACAGGTTCTTACTTCACCATGACACTCTGCCAAGGAATCACGGCTGCTGCTCTCTCAGCCAATCTGTTTGAGAGTACTGAGCTGCCTAGCAATCCCTCCTCTGGGCACAGAAAGGGGCCAATACTTTTGTTGTTTTTAATCCTTCTCTCAGTCTGTCCCTGGCTGAGTTGGGACAACTGTAATGACCACTTCTTTTGAATAGTCCACTGCAGAGGATGCAGGATCTTCACAAGTGATACAGTTCCTTCATAATTTCCCTTTCTCCAAACAAGTATTAAAACCCAAGAGAAGAAGACAATAACCTAGGAGCGATGGGCAGGATGAGACAATGTGCCCCAGCACAGCACATGCTACCCACTCTGAACCCACAGCTACATTAGCTGTCAAGACAAGAAGGACACGGAGTAATGTTTCTCATCTTCCAGATTTTCAAAAGGCAACTGTCTTCAATGATGTTCAGAACAGGAAATATGCACATTACCCAAAGTGAAGCCACTTTTTCTACAGCTAGATATAAAAATCCACAGCCACCTAATCTAAAGTAAGGCTGTGCATTTGTCTCTTCCAAAGGATCCTGGAATGCACTTTGAGGTAGAAGGAAAGTCTAAATGGACCACTCTTTAATCTCACAGGCTTATACATTTGGTCCGTTGCATTTTCCACCATCCTGTTAGTGTTTCGGTTTAGATCCTCACTTTATTATCAACATAATATAGTTTGCTTCCAGAATGCCCAGTAAAGCTGAAATTTTTCACTTAAAGTGATTTTTAAAATGTCCCCAAATATCTTAGAGCTTAGGTTTGGCAAGACAGTTTAAAACATACAAAACGAAAACACTTAATTTTTTTTTCTACACACACACACACACACACACACACACACACACACACACACCCCACATACAAACACCTCCCCAAGTTTTCACTATTTCTCCCTCTTTCTCATACAGCTAATTTTTAAATGTGCAGCTTACTTAAAAATCTACAAATAATTTTAAACATGATTGTCACAAAATATTGTAGCAGAGAGATGAAATGTATGCGGGTACATAGATTGTCAATGGTTACATTGGTTATATCACATTTCTTGAGAAACAGAACTTCTCTGCTCCTGTAAACTTTTTTCCCACACTTTAAAGTGAGGTTAGTGCTGACATACGATTATTGCTATACTCACAGCTTGAGTGTCTCCACTGTGTTCGAGGTACATTTTCTCCATCCATCCCCCCACTGTTCTTACTTACTTGATTCAAGAGCCAACACAGCTCCACTGGCCACACTGTTCAATGTTTTCATTAACACTGGAATGACACCAAGTAATGTTACAAAACATCAGACCAAACTTGTCTTCTTACTGGACAAGAGTTTAACTTATTCTTCATGGCATGAATATAACACTCTTTTAACTTCTTCAGAAGACGATTTATTTTTCTGGAGAGAGAAACGCCTTCTGAACTCCTTCTCCAGTCCGATTCCTTCACATCTCCTCTGCTGCTCTCCAGCAGATCACCTTTCCTTTGGCGGTGTGTCATATCGGTTTCTTATGCTTTTCGTCAACTGCTTGATAAATACTTTGTACGTTTTTCCACAGTACGTGTGAACTGTCTTCTGTAATTCCAGTTCTAAAGGTTTTAATAAGGAACGGACGGCATCATCTTCAAAAGAACACTAGAAAAACAATACACACAAAAGTTTAACTATTTTCCAAGGAAATGCTTCAATCAGTTAAATGTTAACAACTAACTCCCATCTACTTTTTCACATGGAGTACACACTCAACAAGATATTTTCAGTGAATAGTAGAGAAAGGCGGAGTCAGTGACGGCAAATCTGTGAAGACAGGGAAAACTTGAGAAAGGGGCAATGGGAAGAGCCATTCAGGAGCAGAAGAGAGGCAGAGAAAGTGGTGTCCAATGGCTAACCCTTGCTAACGGCATCTGGGAGGAACTAATAAAAGCTACACTCATTGAAAGAAAAGGGGGCAGACTTTCCATACACTCCACCTCCATTCCTGAAAAGCGAGCCCTCAGTGACAGTGCCAAAGCTGGCCTAGACATGAACAGGCCAGCCACAGAGCAGGAAGAGCGCAATGTTTCACTTTCCAAAGAAACTCAGCACTTATTATAGTTTGGCTGTGTGTCTTCAGAAGATCCACATGTTGGACTGGTCCCTATCATGGTGATATTGGGAAGTGGTGGTATCTTTAGGAGGTGGGGTCTAATGGAAGAAGTGAAATCACTGGGGACATTCCTTACAAGGGGACACAGGACTGCAACCACCCCAGTTCCATTGCTTGCTTCCTCAGCTCTGTTCCCACCATGATGGAATGTTTTACCGCAGGTAATAGGACCAGATGAGTAAAAACTGAAATTTCTGAAACTGTGAGCAAAAATCCAATCTCCCTACACATAAACTGACAAATCTCAGGCATTTCTTACTATAATGCAAAGTTTGTTAACAAACTGCACAAGGGGACCCAAGGATAAACACACATGAGAACTGCTAAATACCACATACTTTTCACAGGGGCTCTAATTGCACATGAATGTCTCTCAAGTAAACCAGGAAACACATCAGTTGAAAACTGATAGTCCTAATAATTTCAAAGTGTGTTTTTGACCAGCTCCCATCTATAATGCACAACATATAAATCTCCAAGTGATACACTTTAACACACTGTAGAAATAAGTAGAAATAACTTAATATGGGGCTGGAGAGATGGCTCAGCGGTTAAGAGCACTGGCTGTTCTTCCAGAGGTCCTGAGTTCAATTCCCAGCAACCACATGGTGGCTCACAACCATCTGTAAGGAGATCTGGTACCCTCTTCTGGCCTGCAAGGATACATGCAGACATTACACTGTAAAATAAATAAATAAAATCTTAAAAAAAAAAAAAAAGAAAGAATATGTATATCTTTATTTAGTGTTTTCAACTGTTTTCTATTTAAAAGATGGATGGGTCTTGAAAATAAAACATTTTACATTAAAGTCTATAAAGTTAATAAAAACCAAAATCATAAGGAAATTTAACTTAAAATCTGAGAAAAAAATTAACCAAGATTACCCCTGAGGGGTGATTTCACCATGGGAAGAAACCAAAGCCCCAGATCAAGCTGGGACTGAACTAGAAGCTACCTCCCTGCTGGCTGAGCTTCAGCGGAGCTCGAAGGTGCTGTGCAGACTGACGGGGAGAAATGTTACCGATTGCTGACCTGCTAGGCAAGACACACCCACCGGGGCAATAGCAGCATGACTATTATGGGGTAACCAACTACGCTCTAAGAGGATCTAAGGTTCCACCACAGGGAAGGATTAACATCTAGTACTGGAAATAAAACCTCTCAGAAGACCACAGGAGGAGAGGTCACAGGTGTAGAAGGAAAGCTACTAATGCTATTTTACTAGATTGAAATAATGGGCTGCCTCTCAAACTGCCTTCCCAGGTGTGGTGGCGTAGGCCTGTAATCTCAGCACTCAGGAGACAGGCAGGCAGATCTCTGTGAGTTCAAGGCCAACCTGGTCTACAGAGTTCCAGGACAGCCAAAGCTACACAGAGAAACCCTGTCTCAAAGAAACAAAACAAAAAAGCCAAAGCCACCACACTGCATGCCAGTCTGTAGGGTGCACAGCTGTGTCCCACAGCCTGCATGCGGGCATCTCTTCTCTCATGTCCTTATCTGACTGCAGGCCTTGCTCTACACTGCAGTGTCTGACTGGTCCTTACCTTTCCTAGGCCTCAGGTCAAGTGTCTTCTCTGAGAAGCCCTTTCCAGACAGTACCCAGACACACAATGTTTAGAAAGGTCTTGCTGTATGTAAGACTGTCTGCTACTAAGAGGTAAATAAATTGTGACCCTATGACAATCACAATTGGGCATTTGAGGCATTTTCAAAGAATACAGTATACCTTAAAAGTACAGAAAACTATTGTTCAAAATACAACAGATCCTGAGTACAAGGTACTGTGGAAGGTTTGAGGTGTCTCTAAACAGCTGTGCTAGCGTGAGGTAAGTGAGCAGAGGTGGAGCACAGGCAGCATGGAAGCCAAGCAGAGGACGACTCAGAGAACGCCTTACAGATGTTCTCATCCGGCTTTAACTGTACACAGCAGTTCTCCTGCTGGGCAGCACTAGTTCACAGATGGGCACAAGTGTCAGGGCTGACTGCAGCAGGCACAGCTGTGCCCACGGCTCGGAGGGCTCGGAGCCTTAGTCTGCTATTCGCGGCAGTCCCTGGTAAGGCCTCTCTCTGAAACTGATGGAAACACCCTCACGATTTTATAAAGCTGCACCCTTGCTGAACTATAGATAAGAAAGATAGAACACAAAGCGGGAGCACTAGAAAAGTCCGAATAACTTCATTAAGGCAAAAAATAGACATATATAAGCTGTAGTTAGTAAAGACCTGACACAAACATAACACTCATTAATTCAGTATTTGAAATCGAATGAAATAGAAAACCTACTTCTAAAATTACATGTAATTAATCAATTTTAAACTATTACTGAAATTTTAAATGGTATAGAAGGCAAAAGAAAAAATATCAAATAAAACTAGGGAGATCTAATTCTCTAATAACAGATTTTTTTAAATGCTCAAAGGAAACAAAATTGCATTTTTATAAGTACTAAAAGTTCTAGAAACCCAAAAGTACCTTTCTTCATTTTTATCTGTTTCTGATAATCCATAGTAAGGCATTATTAAAATGATACTGATTTCTGAAAGCACAAAAGACCTGCGACATTAACGTGAAAGTTAACACTAAAATGTACACTTCTTCCATGCATACATCGTATTTTCATAAACCAGATTACTGACTAACTAAGTTTAGTGAACAAACCTGAGAAAATTCACAAAGAACACATGTAAAGCACAGCCTGTGGTGCCAGGAGTGCGTGTCTACAACTGCACTTGAGGAACACTGGTGTGCTGAACATGTTTCAATTCACATCAGCAAGGCACACACCCACCTTCACCCCACCTCGGCCTCCTATCACCATCAGCCAAGGCCTAGGCTCTCCAGACATAAAGGCACAGCCCAGGCTTGCCCACTCATCTAGCAAACTGCCCCTCATTTTTCAGGGCCCACTTCAAATAACCTTACCAGTCCAAGTACACTCTGTCACAAGTGATTATAGTTCAGTGTTAATATTTCTCCTGCTATCAAAGTTATACAAGCCCAAAACTCAAAGTCACTAGTAAATAATGAGAACCCAGCAAACAGGCCACAAGTGGTGGCACCTTCCAAGGACAGCCAAGATAGAAATTCATTTGTGTCCTATACCCCCTCCCCCACCCCCTCCCCTCCCCCACCCTCCTCTGTTCTCTTCTTCTGGAGAACCCTGACTAATACAGAAGCAAAGCAATAAATGTACCCAACATCCAGAGGACATCCATTAAAGAGAACAAAGCACCTCTGTCAGGCGGCTACCTGCAGAGCTACCCAAGCAAGGATTAAATAAACCTCGACTATTCTGTTAAAGCAGGAAACAAAAAGGTAGTCTAAGAAAATGAGAACATGTCAAAAGTGTACAAGAAGTAGCCAAAGAGGCTCCCAATGGCCAAATCAGAAACACCTGCAGCATCAATTTCCTCCAGGAAATAGAAATAAGAGGAGGGGTAAGAACCCTCCAATGTCCATAGTGATTACACTTAAACCAGTAAGTGGTACAATGCTGGATCCCAGATGTGAACTGTGGACACAGCATCACAGCTGTGGTCAGCTAATGTGACCTGTGGACACAGCATCACAGCTGTGGAGGGTAATGTGAACTGTGGACACACATCACAGCTGTGGAGGACAATGTGAACTGTGGACACACATCACAGCTGTGGAGGACAATGTGAACTGTGGACACACATCACAGCTGTGGAGGACAATGTGAACTGTGGACACAGCATCACAGCTGTGGAGGACAATGTGACCTGTGGACACAGCACCACAGCTGTGGAGGACAATGTGAACTGTGGACACAGCATCACAGCTGTGGAGGACAATGTGAACTGTGGACACAGCATCACAGCTGTGGTCAGCTAATGTGA